AGGAGGAGGTGGTGGAGGAGGAGGAGGAGGGGGAGGGGGAGGTGGAGGTGGAAATGGGGGCACCTCCACAGATGGACAACAGCAAACTGCCAGTGGACGCAACTACGCCACTGTCCTGCAGGGAGAGGTATCTGGACAGAGGGACTACCCCGGCAGCTTGGGGAGAGGAGGACTGGAGATGGGGAGCAACTTTGTGGTGGCGAGGCCAGACAGGGAGGGCGGAGGGATATCATCTGTCTACCCAGAAGCAGCTGGCTTTATTGGGGACTGGCGTGATCGGGTGGGTCTTGGGGGGTATGTTTTGGGCAGGAGGGATATGACCCCCCAGCTTTTTCCTTTCCCTGGGCAGCCTCGGGGACCGTACGGCGGCGTGATGGGCTTTGGGGCCGGCTGGGTTCCAGGAATGGAGTCTGCGAGAGGAGCACCAGGGCCTGGGGGTCCCTCCTTGGCACTGAGGGTGGGTGAGTTCCTACGTCTGCGCCTTGCCCAGGTCACTTTTGACCCATCACAGCCACCGTACGACTCTGTGCAGGTGTACGGCCTGGAGGGCACAGGATCCCGGGCTGGATCCCTCAGCTCACTTGAGAGCGAAGGAGAGAAGGATGCAGAGAAGGAGGAGTGGGGTGCAGGGCTGGAAGAGTGGGGTCCACAGTTCCACAAATTAGCCCAACTTTTTAAAGACAGGGAGAAAGAAAGGGAAGAGAAGGATAAAGTTGAAGAGGGTGCCAAAAAGGAGAAGGAAAAGAAAGAAGAGCCAGAGAGGAAAGAGAAAAAAGAGGGAGAAGAGCAGGCTGGAGAAGAGGGGAAAGACTGAGGAAGGATAAAAATTAAACAGATAGGGGCAAAGGGGGTAAGAGAGGAACAGCGGGAATAGGAGGATGATGAAAAGGCAACCAGAGCTAGAATAATGTGAAGAGAAGTTAAAGGAGAGAAAGATGAAGAGGCAAAGTAATAAAAAGAGACAGAGAAAAATGAGCCTAGGGAGGATGGAGAATGCGAGGGCAGGGGAGGGAGTGATTGATGTAATTTAAAGCAATAAGTGTTGAAACGCTGATATGGTTGAGCACAGATACTGAGACAATGCAGAGGCTGCTTCTGCTCGGGGCAGCAACAATTTGTTAAACGCTTTGGACAAAGAAAAACAACCCAAACATCCAAGACTCGATTTAATTCAACTCTCACGTACGGAATGAGAAACAGCAGGAAACAAGAAGGAAGACGTTTCTCGTGGCGCGTGTTGGTCATCTCATTGTGTCTGCATGCGTGTTTGTGTGTGGGAAAAGTCCATGAGGGAATATGGATGTGCGAGCAGGAGTGCATATACACACTTTTTGAGTGGATATGTGTGCATATTCAACAAAGGAGTGGCAGGGAGAAACCGCGACACCCAGAGACAATTTAAAGATGAGACTGATGACTGATGATACGCAAGCGGCAGCATTAGTTTTCAGGACAACGTGCAAGAGTATACATTTAACAAGGAAGTTTATAAACTAGGATAACACACAGGGGATGAAATATAGTACAAAGTGAATGGGATGCGGGATGGATGTATAGAGAGAGAAATGGTCGGTGGAAGTTAGACGATTGTACAGAATCTGTTACATTTTATTCCATCTGCAGTGGCAGAAAAGTGAATTATTCAGCTCACTACTTCATTCCAAATGAAAATGATGAATCATTTAAATCCTGCAAAAGATTCTCCCTCCTCTCAGCCCACAAGGAAAACAGACATTGTGAAAAATTTAAATGATTTAGGGATGCGATCCCCCACCCTCCTCACCCATACTCTGTTACCCCCCTGCTTTATGTAGTTGAGTGTTGGTATGTTTACAAAGATCCACACACAAACACACAGACAGCTTTGCAGCAGACACAAAAGAACTGATGAACATGAAGCTTTGATTGTACTACAGTAAATTATAAACACAAACCATCCACAAGTATTCCATCTGCTATATGGAGTAATGATGACTATTGATCTCTTAAATGTTTTTATGGAAGAAGGCTCCTATTTTTTATGCCCCCTCCCCATATTCTCACTTGACATGTCTTGAGGACAGAGTATGCATGATTTTTGGAGACAACAAAAAACCTAAAAAGGCAATCAATTCCACGTTGAACACTCGTGCTGCCCAAATGAAGATTTTCCATAGATCTGTAATGAAATTATAGGGGAACAACACCACAGAGACTCCCACGACAGGCTTTTTGTTCTTGTAAAAGGTCAGGATGCAAATGAGCTGGAGTTTTCAGCTGGAATGCACTTTTATACTGTGTGATGTTCAATAATAGATAATGAATAATGTCAAAGATTACAGTTGTTTTATAAGATGTCAATTAAAGAATACAATGTTTGACTGTATGTAAAAGCATTTCAAATGTAAATACCACTAAATATTATTGCTAAAAGAGAGTATATAAAATGAAAAATGAGTAAAAAAAAACAAAAAAAGCTAAACTTACATGTCCAAATGGAGCACTGTTGGGACTATCTGTATGTACTATAGATTAGCAATGGATTAACTGAGCTGGACTGAAAACATGTTTTCAACATCTGTGTAGTAAGTGAACAGGTTTGGGGTTGTTTTGTGGTAGCTCTCGTCTGAGATGGACAAGCCAAGGATTCAATTATACATGTGGCCTCTGGCTGAAGTTTGTTGTGCAAAATATTAGTTACAGGAAGACTCAGAACTTGCCTGTCCCAGCGTGGAACCAATTTGATGAAAATCCAATGGAGTGAGCAGAAATTCCCCTAACAGGCATACAACAAAAATTTGCATTTTCCCAAAGATTTGGATTATTGCAAAAGTAGAATAATAAATACACCAAAATGGAGTTTCAAGGACAGCTTGGTCATTAGTGTTGCACTGCCTGAGAGATATGAGACAAGGTTTTATAGATAATTACTTCTCTCTAGAAATATAATCAACTGTACATATAAGAGTAAGATTTGTAATGTAAGTATGGGAAAGTGTCCATCAGATTTAATCTTCATGCATTTCAGGCAATGCAACTCAACCACCATATTAATATTGCATTTTCTTATAACTTAAGTCAAACAAATTCTCTAATCTTGTGGAAAAATAACTAACACTCACAAATTTGTAGAATTTCTTGAGTCCAGAGGGGAATTTAGCCTCATACCCTAACCTGAATGTGGACATATTTGGTGTGCTATCGCAGAAGTGTCACCGTTTATCACTGGTTCACTGTAAAGCCACCCACATAAGTCAAGCTGCCAGCTTTGCTAGTGCCCACCAGTTTGGTCCACCATAATCTTGTTGTCGAGGTCTGCTACTGTCAACACATACTTAAGCAATCAGGAAGTCAGGCTTCACACTGACCGAAATGAAACCCATATACACCTCTGCACCCTTTACCTGAGCCACAGACTTGTCCATACAGTGCCACTGTGCAGACTGGATGGTATCAGGACCAATGTACAAATACTGCACAATAACTGGAGAAAAGTGGGGGGTGCAGAACCTCAGGGGGGATCTGAGTTAACATTCTTTTTGGCTGATCAGCAATACCTCAATATCCGAAAGCTACCTAGACCTTTCATCAGCCATTTAACACTCAGTGGTCTATAGTGACAAAGTATAGGGGCTGTTAGACACTTCACAGTAATATACTGTGTGCCAACCATAAAGGATACATTTGGTTTATTACAACTTGGGTCTTATTTTCATAGTTTATAATAATAACAATAACATTGTACTTGTATTGTAAGTTAATTGCTGAGATCTGGGAAACTAACCTGACTGTGGCAGGTGTTTTGTTACACAGAACCATCTGGGCAGTCGTCATTGGGAAGTTGTTGTTGGAAACAGTTTGACACTGTTTAAAGGGCAGGCAGGCACTTTCAAAAAATATTTGGCATGTGAATAGATGAACCACCTGTCTATCATTGTCTGTCACAGGAACAACTTACTGAGGCGAACCTAGTGTTAAACCACGCCTGTAGCTCATGCTGTGGCTGCCAGTAGTTCCTCATAGGACACTGATTGGTCTGATACCACTGTGGTTGGACAAAAGCGCATAGCTTGAAGCCTGGCAAGATGGATTCTCATGTGATCTCAGGATTTGGGGATCTCAGGAGTCCAGCTGCTTTGCAACGTTACTTGGAAACATCGCTTTCAGGAACTCTGATCAGGTCAAACTTCAAATGATCTGTATGTGTGAGGGAGCGGCGTGAATAAGATCCACTGAAGACGAGAAAACGTTTGTCTCACTTGCAGTCCATAAATGCGATTAATCAAAGAGTTTGTGTTGATGGGTAGTTGTTAGCTAGCTGTCTAAGGTGTTAATGTTGTAACTTAAAGTGCAGACGTTCTTCTTCTTCACCTTTGGCAATTACCAAATAGCTTTAGGTGCATCAACACCAGCCTCTGGGTTGGAGTCTGTCCGTCCTGTGGCCTGAGGAAACTATCCTGATCTGGATATAAGACTTTTGAAATGACAAGTGCATATTGAGCCTTAGGGTATGTTCTCTTTTACACATAAACTGGTTCACACCATCTCACTAAACTACAGGATAAACTACAGTTTTGTCTTGTTTTCTGCCTATTGGGTTGTTTGTATCTTGCCTTATCTGACTTTGTTGTAGCAATGTTGCCATCTTCCCTGTTCTCAGCAATTAGTCAGGTGTTCATAACTGATCAATTATTGTTAAAACTTCAAAAACAAGACCCAGTAATCATTTAAACCCTTATTAAGTAAAATGTCAATTTAGAATGGTAATAATTTAATCATGTCTTGAATGAAAATTTCACTGGTACACCTAAAATGACTGCCAAAGAATTTGGAACTATTTTGTTATGAGAATAAGAATTGTTGTAAAGAGCACTAACGTGTTGCTTTGCCAATGCATCATCTGGGCAATGTTTTCCTTAGCATTTATGTGGAATGTGCCAACTTTCTGAGTCTCTCTGTCTCTCAACACACAAAAAAAACTATCCTCATTTTCATAACAGTATTGCCAATTCTCGAGCAGCCATTGCAAAAGCAATTAGCATGGTATACCAATAAGTGACCTTTCTTGCCATTCTAATTATATGGTTTATTCCACAGTCTTGATTGGCTCCAGGTGTTTCGTCTCTGCTGATTGGTCTAATTCAAAGTTCTGCACCGGCTGATTGGTCAAAATCAAAGTGATGATTCTCTTGATTTGTCTTATTTCAGGGTTCTGGAGTGCTGCGCCGACTAAACCACTTGACGGAGCTGATTATCCCACCTCCTGAGCCCGGCAAATTGGTTCAATCAAAAGCGTGATTAGATGAATCAGTTGTTTTGAATAGAATAAAAGTCTGCAGCCACGGCAGCACTCCACAGCCCCTTTTCACTCTTTAGGCTAGCTTAGATGCAGCTACCCACATTGACAGACCTAAGTGGTCAAAGTGGTCCTGTCAGGCCATTTGTCAAGTCCTCAGTCAAAGAAATAACAACCCCAAATACACTGAGGGTGGGGAAGTCACACTCGCATCTAGATATGTTGATATGTAGTTTACGGGTGCAGGTTAAAGGTCATGAGTCATCTTGACCCCCACGGTTCTGTGCCCCCCAGTGACTTCATAGCTCCTGCACGATGTTGATACAATTCCACAATTGCGTGCTGAACAAAGTGTATTTATTTCTGTTGTACTTTTTCTTTTTGTAAATTTGAATAAAAAAGGAACTATTTCAAAGAGATGAGTCAGACGTGCTTTGTGCTCTTTTCTACAGTCTCCTGAATTTCTGGATAATCAGACTTCTGCTGCTTGCGTGTGCTTTCTGTGTGTGTGTGTCTTCAAGAGGAAGACAGCGGGAGAGAGGGACTGAGATGTGGTGTGCAGTGCATACAAATGTGTGCGCACCTTGTGAGCATGTATCTTGTTGTGAGTAGGTGGGTGTGCCTTGTCAAATTGGCCCCTTGAAATTTCCAAACCACAGACAGTGTGTGTGTGCCTGTGTGTGT